TACCGGCCGTTTAAACAGCCATAGAAGCCGTAGCATGTTACTGTTCTGGACACTGGAGCTATCTCCTCCTCGTCTCTTCCCACTTCTTAGCAATCTGAATCTGAAGACCCTCACCTTCAACAAAAGGCTTCGAAGCAGCTGTTTTGACCCGGACTCTGACCCACTTACCGGAGATGCGCACCTCCCGAAACTCCTGCTTTGCAGGATAGGTCCTTGCTTCTCGCTTTGAAGACGCTTCAGAATTTGGGTGTCAGAGCAAGGTTTGCAAAGGTGGCATGCAAAGGCGAACTCATTTTTTTTGGGTGGTTTTAGGCAGTTGGGGGTTTGGGGTTTTAAACTTTGTGGTTTAGGCTGTCGGAGAGGTTTCTGCTGGCGCAGAGCCGCCTGTTGCAGCAGCTTCGTTGGGCGTGCTCAGAGACCTGGTTGTGGCGAGAAGGACGGGGAAGACATTTCTAGCCTTTCTTGGTAGCAAAGTAAGCAACCTCTAACCCTTCAGGTGTCCTATACGATTATACCTTGTGCAATCCAGCAATTAACCGTCGTTTCCCTAGGCACTTGCCCAGGAACCTTTACAGCTCAAGTGTGCCAGGATGATGTTCGGCAAGCCAGAGTTCGTTCGTAGACCCTGTGAGAAAATGCAGGACCGAGATCAAGCCGATCCTACACACCGTGGACAGCAACATCATAGTATCCAGGGAAGCAGGTGTTGATGCCGAGGAGGAGCATTTCGTCGATGACGAGGTGGCAGAAGCTCAGCAGACAGCGAACCCGGAGGCGGCTCCGCCAATCGTCATGCTGCGCATGCAGGTATTGATTCGTGTATATATATATATATAGATGTATATTTATATTTATATGCATAAGTATGTGTACGTATAATTATACATATATATATATATATATATATATGGACATAGGTATGTAGGTGTGTAACCACCTAGATAGATGAAAGATCTAATCTAGTCATGTCTTATGCAGAAAATCTGTCTGAAGCCGTGTCTTCCTCGACTGTAGGACGTGCCGACCGCCTACGACAGTCTGGCGAGAGAACCGCGCTATGCGCGTGCCATGAACACGCCCGTGTGGGAACTGCAGGCAATTTCTTGTGATTGCTGTTTATTCTGCAGAGCAGACATGTGTTGGAGGGTTTGTGAATGTGTCGGTCTCTCAATATGGCTTCCGCCACCCAGGCGGAACGCATTTCGGAAAAGTCGGGTGGATCTCAACCCAAAACCAGGTGCAAACCCTAAACCTTTGCCTTAGCCCCAGCACCAGGCACTTTCCAGCCATGTGCACCCCTCGGTCGGCACGTATGCCACCAAACTGCTGGAGGGCCAACCTTATCAGGCTTGGGGGGCTTAGGTTGAGGGATGTTGAAGGTTTCGGGTTTAGGGTAGATTAGCTCGTAAAATCATGAGGATTGTNNTGCGATGTGCTACGGGGGACATTGGCCGGGCGAGCTCCAATCAAGCCTGTGTAGAAAAGGGTTGAGGGTATAGGGTAAGGTGTACAGGTCCTCGGGTTGAAAGCTAAGAGTCTGGTGTTGGTTGTTCTCTGTAGTACTGAGTTGTTATGCTGGCAGCTGGAAAAGTTACTCACTGAACCTTAGCCAAGTTTTCAGAGGACGCAGTGTCAAGGGTGCTGCTTGTGAAGGAGCATGGCTATCAGTCTGCATGACAAGGAAGAGCATCGACATGTATTCCTCACCTGCGAAACCGGTGAATGTGCAGAGGACATGCCTGCGAATCCTTTCGACGTATTTTCAATTCCTGAGCTCTTGGAGCAGTTCGCTTATCACTCGAAAGTTCGGCGAGAAAGAGCTGGGAGGAAGGTGGCTTTGCCTGAATTCCTGCGTAGGCCTAGAGATGTCGTTTATGGAGGCCTTAATTAATAAATGGAATAGCGTGTGGGGGCATATTTTGTAGTATACACATGTCAAAGTACATGCTGTCTATTATGCTTTAGACCCATATGTCAGGTTTAGGCGACTGGAAGAATGCCGCCCAGCAGTGTCCCGTATACTGTGCATCTCTTCAGGCAAGGGAGAAGATGGGCTTAGGATGGTTCAGGGTTTAGGGTTACTCTGCTTTTCCTAAGGCAGGGGAGAAGATGGGTCAGACAGTTGCCGTCAACTCTGAGAAGTTTCTCAAGCGGAAGAAGGTGCAGCCCCACGAGAAGCGTCTCGAGCTGAAGTCAAGAATGTCCCTGTTTACGGGGTACTATACGGGCTATAAGGCTTCCGTTAGGGGCTAGTATGCTGGGTTAGTATAGTAGGGCTTTGCAAGGGAACCCTGGAAGCAGAGTTCTTCGAAACCTGCAATTAACCGCAGAAGTCCACGCCAAAAGAGGGTGGTCCTGAGATTTGCACCCAGTTCTCTTGTCCGACACTGTGGCTTGACTTCAGCAAGCTAGGCGGGTGAAAAGACACCCTGAACACTAAATCTGCGCACGACAAGGTTCTTTCAGGACTACTTCCGCGACTCGTCAGTGCGAGCAGAGCAGGACAGGAAGCGCAAGGTACGCCGGGAGAAAGAAGAGGACAGGGATAGGGGCCGTAAACCCTAAACCCTAAACGCTTATACGTGTGAATAAACAAATATAAGCCCTCCTCAAGCCTTAAACCCTAGACCGCGCCGAAACCCTAGACCCTCAACGGCCTTACTTAAACCCCCACGAACAGTCCAGGACTTTGACGAGGCAGGCGATGAGGACGGAGCAATCTGGACAGCAAAGCTTAGTCTAAGGCTGCGGCATATAGAGTCAGGATTCTCCGAATTTAGTATTTAACGCATCGTGTAGTGAATTCTCAATCCTTGGCCGAACTGTTTGCCACCTGCAACGTGAGAACTTGGACATGAGGAAAATGCGAAAGTGCAAGGGCACAGACTGTCAAAAGTTAGGGCGCGCAGACACATAATGCACATCAAGAGCACGCTTACAATCGCTGCTGGGTGAGGTTGTAAACGCATGGATGCCGATATCGTTAGGGACGCCCACGAAAGCCATCCACGCTACGGGTTGCAGCTACAGATGGGGTGGGTCAAAAGACTAAGGAAGATGCGGATGAGTTCTTCGACAACTACCTGAAAGGCCAGATACCAGAAGGTGAGGACGAGGATGAAGACGACGAGGATGAAGATGATGCCTTCGGCGAAGGGGAAGAGGAGGACGGTGACGAGGGCGAAATGCCTGATGAGCCGGATGACGAGTCCGATGGCGATGGCGCTTTCTGTGAGGAGGAGCCCGAAGAGAAAAAGGCTCAGAGCAAGCGCGACAAGGCCAAGGAAATGCGTAAGATGCACAAAGGTGCATCCATGTGGCTTCGCTGCACTTATGTAAGGGCCGGAGCCTTTAACAAACAGAGTGAGGTTTTCCTGGGCACAATTATTGAATATGCATACTACGGAAGCTTAGGAACAGTAATGCTAAAAATGCAGGCCCCTATACCTACGCGTTCAACTTTTTTACCCACAATGCTCACGTAGCCGCACGAGCACCCGGAGCGTCAAAGCATGCTGGAGTTCAATGCGACAGAAAGAAGGAATGATTGAGGAAGTAGCTTTCTTCCGAGAAGACTTGGGACCGTTTTTGCCACTGAGACGTAGCACAAGGCACCAAATGGCATGAGGGTGGCTGCGCTTGACTTGAGCTAACTCTTCGCAAAGCCCACGCGCTCTTTGCTTCAGGTTCGCGTCCTTGGAGGACTTCCAGCAGCTGCTGGATGCTGACTTTCCAGCTTAGTTGCCAAAAGCGGCGCTGGCCTTCTGCGATGCATGATCACGGATATGTCTATCGAATCTATATCGTGACCGCCAACATTTGTGTCTACAGAAGGTACTTTTCAGCATTGCATGCCTTGGAATGTCGGCGTGACATGTTCAAAACCTAGACAGCAGCCGCAGCATACAGAACACATCAAGGACATGTATTTGTCTAGATATCGCATACTTGCGTCTGACAAATCATTTCACGTAAGTTAACCTGAGTTTTTCGATAACTTGGCAGATGTTTTCAGCTGGTTATTCTACTTGAGGAGGTCAGTATCTACAGCGACTTTGCCGGACGTGCTCAGTTCACTCAGCTACAGTCATTAGTTAGCTTGAAGACCCCTTGGCAAACAACCGTGAACCCATTATAAAGCCTGAACTCTGGACCCCTGCGCCCTAAACCCGTGAAACTTCCAAACCCCAAGCCCTATCAGCCCTGAATCACCAGAGCGTGGAATACTGTCAAAACAACTTCCACTGCAAACCCTACACCCTAACCCTAAACCCCCAAACCCCAAACCCCAAGCCCTAAACCCCAAAGCTGGATGGGTGGCAAAAAACCCAAGGAGAAAACCCCCAAGCTTAAACCCTAAACCCCCAAAGCCCTAAACCCCAAATCTGAAAACAAGCTAAGCCCCCGGTGAATGGGAGACCGGGAGCAGATAGAAGCAGGAGTTCAAAGAGCATAAAACACCAGAGGGCCCAGCAATAATACCCGTCCAAGGTTTAGAGTGTTTTAGGGGGTATTTTTATCTCTGCGGCCACTTTTGAGGGGACGTGCTCTTGCTCCTGCTCCGGCTCTTGCTCCCGCGCTGGCTTTTGCTCCTGCTTCTGCTGCGCCTGTTGCCCTTGCTCCTACTCTTGCTGTTGCTCCCGCTTTTGCTCGTGCTGTTGCTCTTATTCCCGCTCGTGCTTTTGCTTTGCTCTTGCTGCTGCTCTTGCAGATGCTCCGGCTTTTGCTCTTGCTCCTGCTCCTGTTCCTGCTCTTACTGTGCTCTAAGGGTAGATGGAGCCGCGAAACCCTCCCCCCTAATTCAGAATAGGTTTAAACGGCAGGGATGATTTCGGGAGGATTGGACCCAATGTGTTTTTATTACTAGGGGGTGTTTAATAAAAGGGGGTAGCGGTTAAACAAATGAAAACCTTTCAGCAAATTCCTTAAACCCCTCCTCTAAAGGGCTCCATGATGGACCGGTCCAGGGCCTATAAACCATCCTATGTCAGACAGCCGAGGCTTTTACATCGCCCCAGGATCGTTGGCGATCGACGCCGCTGCAGGCCCACCTACCCAGAAGTATTCGGTTTTGGGTGGCCCAGAAGTGGTGGCAAGTAGACTGGATACATGCTGAGTGCCGATTTGCCACCTGTATCTGCGCTGGATGTCAACCTCTGTCGATGCTTGCACGGATCTGCCGTCCTATCCATCCACCTATTTCCTCTCTCTCTCTCTCTCTCTCTCTCTCCGCTTGCTGATGCTCGCTCTCGCTCTCGCTCTCGCTCTCGCTCTCGCTCTCTCTCTCTCTCTCTCTGCCTCTCTCTCCCTGTCTTTCTCTTTCTCTTTCTCTTTCTCTCTCTCTCTCTCTCTCTCTCTCTTTTTCTCTCTCTCTCTCTCTCGCTCTCTCCCTGTGCTTGTTTCGATGCCGTTGTGTGTTTATGTGTATGTGTGGTATGTACTTGTATCACATGTGCCTGCAGGTAGGTGAGGTCTTGTAGGTTTTGGCAAGTCTAGCCAATGATGTTTATTGTCGCCTACCCCTTTCCTTGCATGCGGCTCACGAGTTTGCTCATGTTACCGTGCTGGCCTTGTCTGTCGCTAGGAAATGGTACGCATAGGTAGCCGATGGTCAGCCATGACCTATTTCCACACTTGCTCACACTTGCCTTTTTTTGGAAAGCTTGCTTGATTGATGACATCATCTTGTTGTTTGTGTTTGAGCTCCGGAAATGAAATTTGATCAAACTGTGTTGTGTGCACTCATTTGTCCTGCTATGGCATCTTGCAGATGCACCTACGTTGCTGACTTAAATGCTTTTGGGTTCAAGAGACGTACGGTGATGTTTTGTGTAATAAGTGGGGCGGCCAAGCCCCTCCGGAGCCACAGAGGTAATTAGTATAAAAACGCTTATTGAATTTTGTTTGAAACCTGAATTCCACCAAATTCCGCTCCAAAAGCCCTCCCCACTCCACCCCTCCTCCACCCCCTCCACCCCATACCTCCCACACTTTTTGCTGTGCGCATTCCGTACCCGACCCCACCACCTCCACCCCTCCCTCCGCTCCATTATTGGGGGCGGTAAAGGGGTGACGGGTGGAGGGGCGGAGGGTAGGGTGGAAGTGTGGAGGGTGGAGGAGAGGGTGGGGGGGAGATCCGCTTATTTAAAATGGGCTTGGGCCCGGACCCGAAGCCAACGGAGGTAGCATAAAATATTTGTTTAGGCATTAAACACCCGCATATTTTATAAAGTCAAGTAGTAAGCATTGTTACATTCGTGCCGCGACCCGAGGATGCCGTGCGCGCCGGACACATCGACTGCGTTCGCCTGTTGGCCTTCGCCGGCGCTTCGCTAGGTGGGTCGGCGGGTCTGTCTTTTTAAGCATCCCTAAGCCCTTCCTGCTCGTGTGCCTGACATGTTCAGTGGTACGATCATATGCCCAACCTCTCTCCCCACAGATTTTTGTTCTACCTGAGTGTCGGGTCTGGGGCAGTAGGATGGGGTAGGTAAGGTCAGCAAAACGGAAGTGTCTCAGTGCATGTAGAGGCCTTTTTTTTGCACGGGTGCGCCATAGAGCATCGTGTGGCGTGCAGCTACTGACATGACACTGTCGCCAAAACATTGCTCTGACAGCCACTGAACCAAGAAGAGTGGCAGCCTCTCCACTTTCAACTGACCTGGGCCCTTCAGAACCTGCTTGTTTAGCGTGGTAAACTCAGTCACTGAGTCTCTTGAAGGGTCATGTGCCCAAGTACATACCTGTAGTGTCCAGGTCGGTATAGGAATTACGGGTTCGGGTGTTGCAAGGAGACAGCGCCACCGACGAGGATCGCACCAAGCTCCAGCAGACTTTCGGGGAGGACAGCATTGGTTCAGTGTTGTGTGAGTGTGTCTTCGTGTGTAATTTGTGTTGTTCGACGTTCGGCCCCGAAGTGGGAGTGATGTGGGCCTAGCAGCCTGGCATTTGTCTTCCGATCGTTCTTGGCCAAACCTTCTTCGATGAGTTTTCTGATACCTCCATGTACCGCCGTGCCCTTGAAGCAGTGTAAGAGTCTGCAAGTACTGGTCAGCTCTGATTCTTTAGGTTTTCTGGAGAAGCCCAGCACTTGAACGGTCGAACAACGTCAAAGTCGAAGCCGATGTAAGACAAGCTTTAGGGTAACCGTTGTCTCACTCAGGACTTCTCCTCACCGGAAACGTGGGGCGAAGTTCAGAAATTCCAGCGTGCCTTTGCTGAATCAGAATGAGTCGAGTACAGGGGTCTCAACAATCAAGTTATTATCATGTGGGCCTTTAGTCCTGAAAAATTCGAGGAGAGGCCCCTGCATTACATGGCACCTGCATTCGGGGATGCTGTTGCTCCAAATTAGTCGGTCGTACTTCGACAGTTCGTTCTCACGTGTTCCTTGGCTATTTTAGACAATGGTGCGGTTTTGGGATCTCATTAGAGTCTCGTCGTGAGTCCGGATTACCTGGGATACCCACCTCCTTTCTCATCCATGCCGCTATGCTTCTCCAAGCTGGAGTTTTGTTGCGGATGCGTACCCAAAATCCTGGGGAGCTGCTACAAGGCCGCATGAATGATCTGCAGCAGCGTGTCGCGCGGCTTCTGATCTCTGTGGCCAAGGGGCGAGCCAGGCAGCGTGGGGATGTTACGAAGGTAAAGCATTCAGGTTGAAAGGTTTCTATTGTGTGTAATATAGGGGCCTAAATAACTACCTATATTATTTTGGGGGTTCCTCATAAGATTCTACTTATAGTATACTGGGCCCCAAACCCTATTCTACTTATCATGGCCCCTACATTAGCGCTCCTTTGGAATGATGACTGCTGGTGAGTGCAGGTTTGGAGTGTCCGTTTCGCGGGGGTGCTTATTATGATCGTAATATAATAGACCCCACAACCCTGTTCTCATTATTGAGGCCTCTACAGTACGTACGGCATGAGATCGAAATCGCTGCAAGACCCTGGCGCTCAACGGCCTGAGAAGGCTGCAGTGGGATTGTCCGAGAATATCAAGCGTACTACAGGGGCCTGTATAATGACATATACTATTTTGGGGGTTCCTTCTTATATTTATTGTATAATGGGCCCCAAAACCTTATTCTAATTATTAAGGCCCCTATATTACGAAATACCTCCTCGCGGAACCGCAAACCCTGAACCCCAAGATCATCAATCCACAAGACCTTCAATCCAAAACCTAACATCTCGGCCGTCAAAACAACGGAGGTGCACAAGAGAATTCCGCAAGACTGGAAAAGAGCTGAAACCTGTGTGATCATCTTTGATCCCAAGTGCTCCATGCCCAAATCCTGCTTGTTTGGCAAGCCGACTGCAAAAAGGTAGACTAAGAGCCCAGACCGGCACTTGTAGCACCAACCTACAAGCGCTGGTGAAACACAAGATCCCCAAACCCTGAAGCCCTAAAGCCCTAAGCCCTCCCCCCAAAAAGCCTAAACCCACAGCCAAGCTGAAAGAAGCTCAAGACCCAGCCCCTGAATACAACGCCCTGGCCTAAGCTCTCAGGGCCTTTAGGGATGAGGGTTTAAGGTCTAGGGCGAAGTAGTAGATTGATCTGAATAATTGTAGGGTTTGGGGTACAATGGGGTTTAGGGTATAGAACTGTGGTAACACTATCATAGACCCGAAAGAAGCCCTATTTCCATACATTTAGGCCCCTAACTTATAGATCTGAATAAGTAATAATTAGTTGTATCCCCCGGTCGTCCATGTGATACTTGTAGCACTGCAGTATCCCCTCCAGTCCTTGTTCCCGTTATAGCCAACCAAAAATCTGATTCCTACGCTTTAGGCCGTTATGCCACCTTAGTAAGTCACAGTTAGGGCTACCCTGACAGGAACCCTCAACGGGATCCTAGTTACTTCTTATGGCCCCTACCTTATAGCGCCCTTCTAGTAGAAAGAACCCTTGTGAACCGCTTGTTTCCAGGAACCCTTAAAAAGGGACCGTATTCTAGTAATCAAGACCCCAAACCCTATATAAACCCCATTCCTTAAACTCTAAATCCCAAATCCTATTCCTTAAACTCTAAATCCTAAACCCTCTTCCCCAAACACTAAACCCTAAACCTATTCTATTAATTAAGGCTTCCCACATAAATTGAACCCAGAGTTCCTCTGCCAGGCCGGAAGTCTTCGATGCGGAAGCAAGCACGAAGTTTAACAGGCAGCTGATCTGCGCATCTTGTCGGGTTTAGGGTTTAGGGTTTAGGGGTTTAGGGTTTAGGGATTTAGGGTTTAGGGTACAGCGTACGGCACGGCCTTGAAACCACAATAATATTGTTGTAGGTTCTTATTATACGATTATACCCTAATGTTGAATTTGTAGGAACCCTACAAAAAAGGGTTTCGATGGTTCACGTTAAGTTTTCAGGGTTTTATGTTCAGCTAGTTTGTGCACGTCGTCGGGGCGAATATAGGGATCGGAATACTTACCTAGAGTATTCCTTAGGGATGCGCAATACAAATACGATAAAATAACCCAAAACGCCTATGTTGTCTGCTATGTAAGGTCTCTATATTACAGAGGCTCGGGGGTTCGTGGGGTTAGCGTGTTCAGAGGGTGGAGCAGGGAATCGGCCTTCCGGCTTAGGAGTCATGTCTTCAGATTTCGCTTTTCTACCATACTGCCGCAACAAGCGGCTGCAATGCGAGACACGGCTGTCCCAAGACAGGTCAGTCCTTGTCAGGAGAGTTCAAGTGGATACGTGTTGCTTTAGTTGCCGCTGCATCGTGCAAACAGCAGACCCCAAAACCCTCTTCCAATATTTCGGACCCTACATGAAGCTCGTGCTCAACTGCGGACAGGTCTCGGCATTCCTCCTTGACCTCCACCTTCAAGCGTGAGCTCACACGCTAAACCGAAAGCGAAACACATCCCTAAATCCTACATCGCCCGTTTAGGAAATCCGACCCAGCTGAATCACAGCAGCAAAGGCGATCTTCAAGCAATGTCCGCAGCTGGCAGATGGAATGCTCTCTTTCACGAAGATGTTTCAGACTCTGGAGGCTTCCCAGGGACGGTTTTGAGGAGTTTAGTTAGGGTTCACGGTTGTCTAAACTGGCGATACTGAACACTGTTGTACGTGGTGTTCCTTGGTTTGTTGTTTCTCTCTCTGCCCTGTCGCACTCTCTCTCTCTCTCTCTCTCTTCTCTCGCTCTCTCTCTCCCTCCCCCTCCCGCTCGCTTTGTCCATCTATCCATTTCCATTCGTCTATCTACCTATCAATCTGTCTAAGTCTATGTCTATCTATCTCCCCATAGATTCGACACCGGCACATATATACCATACAAAAACGCTGGTGCGGAGTGTAGGAGCTTCCCGCCATCTCACCACAGCTCTGGAGAATTGGCTTGGGCTTGGTAATCTGGTAATGTGACCAGTTTATAGGTATAGAACAGTACACGATGATATATATATATATATATATATAGTATTATGCCATATAGTGTTGCCAAGTTTCCGAACCCTGGCAGTGGCTGAGAGCTACCCTCATCGCACCGAACTTGAGGCAGTAGGTTTAGGGTCTACGGTTTGAGGGGTTTAGGTTTTAGGTTTCAGGGTATATATTTCGGGTTTAGGGCTAACCACAGCACATGCACTTGGAGAAAGCAAAAACGGCAGAGCAAGGATGATACGGCAGCATCATGATGTGTTGCAGCAGGCCATGGGGAAACAAGGGCATCAGCACCGATAATCACCATAGCACCAAGCTGCCTGGTTGAAGTTCCAGAGTGGGCCACATCAGCCGTCAAAGCTCCCGAAGCTCGTGCCGCTTAGATGCCGATTATCAGCTGGCGTACTGTTGCTGCCAGCATCATTACAAGAGTATTTCCACCGCGATTGCGGAGAAGAGGAGAAACAACAGAAGCTTTGCGGCTAGTGTTGCCGCTGCTTCTGTTGACACAACCACGAAAATTAAACAATCCTGAAGATGGAGCTAGTGAGTGTTGTTGGTGGTGATGGTGATGGCGTTGATAAATAACATCAAACGAGAGTTGTAACAATGGAGATTATCGTGTTCTCAGAACAGTTCAAGGAACACTAATGAACTGGTTGCCGTGTCCTCAAGGAATCCTCCAGAACGAGAACTCGGAACAGAATGAACCCCACACATTGTTTGCCTCCGTCCCCTGCAATGTCAGCAACAACGAAACCTGGCGGAAGAAAGATCTCGGGCCTCAGCATTGGCTTGCAGACAGTGGCTCAGCGTATCGCCTGGCTAGGCCAATGCGGTGGCGCCGATGCAGACCTTCCTGGCGTTCCTGCAGGACAGATCATCCAGTCTTTGCAGGCGGTTTAGGCATAGTATCACTGCTAGCTGCAGCAATGTATACAGGATGTGCGATCTTGGCATCCCCCGTAGTACTACATGGACATCTGGCGCACAAGATAATTGCGTAGGAAACCTTCACACAAGCGCAGCATTATGCCAGTTTCCTTGGTCCGACAACGAAAGGCCAACTCCCCAGTTTTCCATCACATCGCAGGATGTGTAAACCCTAAACCCTAAACCTGGGTCGGACCAACTTGCCATGCCTGCCGTTGTGCGAGTGTGTGAGTCGAGACCTGGGTCCCTTCCCCTTTCTCTGAGGACTCCATCGATTGCATGCGCCACAGCCGATGGTGGACTTGGTATGCCAAGCAGAATCCTGGCCAAGAGTCTCCAGGGTCTAGTCGTAGTGACACAGGTGAGAGTAGGGTTTGGGGTTTAGGGTTATCTGAGTTTGGGGAAGAGGGTAAGTTATATGAGTTTAGGGGTGAAGGTTTTATATGAGCTTCGGGTCTAGGGTTTATTATATTTATTATAGGGTTTAGGGTTATGACTGATCTACCTCTACGCATGGCTCCTGTCTGCTTCTGCGATTGGTGTCCCGAAAAAAAGTGCGTTGAACAACAGACCTTGAACCTTGTCTTTAAAATCCTCCACCACATGTGATGTTTTGTTTCCGGACTTCCTGCTGGTGAAAAAGGGGCGTCAAGGAAACAATGGCAATCTTACTTACGTCTTTGAACAAACACTCAGCCCCAGCCCGAAAGCCTACACAGAACGCCCAACTCGCACAATGGATTCTTTAAATTTGGCGGGGAACGCCGAGTGGACCTAAACCGACGGCTGTCAGCGGGTTTACGATGGAGCGGGGGTCACGAACCAGAGGGCTCAATCCGACATTGGCGTTTAGGGTTTAGAGTGGAAGCGTCGCATTGAGAAGAGTACCAAATCGAACCACGAGAACAGGGTTTCTTGAGGCCAGGAGACATTTAAGCGTTCATAGGAAGGCAGTACTTGAGGTTTAAGATTTCGTTGTGGTGTTGTATGTGGTTTTTTGCCTGCCTGGACCCCTCGCACACAGAACCGAAATGGACCACATTCGCTTTTGTCGTGTGCTTTTGTTGGCTTAAGGGTGCTTGGTAACTTTGGAAGGCGGTTTCGGATCCACGCTCCAGCTCTGCAAAGCAAGGATTTGTCATGGACATTTGTCATCTATCTATCTATCTATCTATCTGTCGATAAGTATATATAAATCTACATGTATGCATATGTACGTTTATTTCATACAGATATGTATGGTCGCGTATGTGTGTATGCACATATGTATGTAGTGATGCATGCTTGTATGTAAGTCAGTAAGTACGCATGTGTATATGCATGTGTTTGCATTTATATATATATATATATATAAATATATATATATGTGTGTGTGTGTTGATATACATATGTGCGTGTATGCATAAACAAATGAATAAATATATGTGTGTGTGGCTGTATACATACATATATATATATATGCACATGTATATATATATATATAGATAGATAGATAGATAGATAGATAGATAGATATTTATGTATTTATGTACTTGTTCTATCTATAGACCACCCTCAGCCCGGTTTTTTACGAGAACATCGCAGGTT